TCTATAATTTTTCCACTATTATTTCCTCACTATTTTCCCCTCTAATGTACTCTGAACTTGGCTCGTGTGGTGCATGAAAATGCATGGGAAAAATGTCCCACACGCTCGGTTATTTAAAGGGGTAAAACCGTGAGGTAAGTTTGGGTCAAAGGAGGTGATGGATGACCACATCTCCTTTGGTAACATGTGTCCCTAACCGTTGCTGAGGTGGGACGAACTTTTCTTAGTCATTGCCGAGGTGGCGGGCATGCACGGGCTTAGTCATCGCCCGTGTGCCCGTGCGGTGCCAAGTGTGCAAGCAAGTAGGTGACTCACCGCACCACTTGCACACCCAACACTTATCCCTTGGTTAACTCACACGGAAGTTGAGAAGCCTAATAATTGGATTACTTGCACTTGATTATGGTGCTTAGTCGTGCATAAGCGTGCGCTTAGCGGGTGCTTAGTGCGTGCATGATGTGTACGTCTGTGCCTTAGGCATGAATTAGACTTTGAACTTAATTCCGAACATTCTTAACTTTTTAATAATTAATCTCGATTAATAATGTCCGCTCATAAAATAAATGGTTCAGAAATTAATTATTGACTTCGACTCGGTTAATAATTAACCGGACTGACTTTTCGACTTAACGTCGAACTTATTGACTTAAACGCTGAAAATGAGCGAGATTAATAAGAGAAAATACTGTCACTTACATTAACAAGAAACTGGGTTATTACAGAGAATGTGCATTACACACGCCGTTAAGTTGGACAGAATGGGGGAATCATGCAACAATTACTCAAATATAAGAAAGTCTGGTGCATTTTTTAAAACACAAGGTGAAAACATACACATTTCGTTAAACACAGAGGGGGCTCCACGTATTTTACCCATATTTTGGGCACTATCTTTTACACCAAACTTGTAATCAACCTGTGCAATTGGGACATAGACAAAATCATAGAAAAGAAAACAAGAAAATAAGTAAAACAAAAATACTATATCATAATTTATTTAATTTCAAGAAAAAAATGTGAATTAAGAAAAGAGTTCTAAGTATTGTTAAAAACTTCTTTATATACAACATTCATGTTACTTCTATCGTTGGAGTACCCATCGTCACATATCAATATCTTTAAACTCTTCCGATTCATGACTCTAAAAAGAGTTACGTACAATTGCCATGACTGAAAACGTGGTTCTTCAGTACTAAGCCAACATGTGGCAGAGGTTGGAATTTACTCTTGTTGATTGTCATAGCATAGTAAATCATGATAGGAAACTGAAGATGCTTGACGATGAAATTGGAAATAGTTGACTAGTAGTACAAAAATACAAGTAATATTAAACAATGATTAATGGTGGACTTATTGACAATATCAATTTATTAAAAATTAAAACAATATAGATTTTCAAATAATAATTGTATAAAATACGTAAACTTACCATTGGTGAGTTCGTTAACAGACATTTTTCGGATATCGTTTTCTTTCTTGTCTGTTGTAAGGTCATACAGAGGAACCAAGCCCCTCCAAGCGGCATTAGTAATGTCAATTAAGGAACTATTTCGAGACAAACATTGAGAATTTGCGAATGCAGAACCTAACAATCCAAATCCAAGTAATAATAATAATAATAAAAACAACAACAACAACAACAACAACAACAACAACAACAACAACAATAATAATAACAGTCAATCTAATAGCCACACAATAATAATGACGAGCGAAAAGGAATTTTATGCATGATTTCAGCTATCGGAATAAAGAACGTCAGATTATGCAGATTTC